AGAAAAAAGAGCCAGTTGGTTCCACTTCTGCTAGAAACAATGGGTCCAATAATTAGTGTAGAAATGAAGAACTTTCCAGCAAATACAATAAGAGTCACATATACTCAACTGTTGTGAAAAAAAGGAATAGCAATTATTTTATAGCCAAATGGGTTGTTGTTATATCACACCATACTCTGGTAAGCTTTTTCCATTTTAAATGGAATAAATGAATCAGGTTTTAGAAAAGTATGTTCAGCAGTTGACAACTTTTGTTCAAAGTCCAGGCTGTTTTACAAACTGAAATCCAGGCCCTGGATCCCCTTGGGTTAGAGAATGCAGTACCTGGAGACTCATCTTCTATTTTTATTGTCCAAGCTAATGGTCCATTAACACAGCTCCTTGAGACTGATCCCATGTCCTATTAGGGCAAGGACACCAGGTGGGGACTTCCTGGCTGTTTCTTCCAGCATCTTTCTTCTAGGAGAAGAATGTGAACCAGCCTGTTATTGCATATAATGGTAAAACTGAGGAAGAACAGCTCATAGAGTGGGCAAAGAAATTACCAAGAAACTATTAGCCCAAAGGGAAATCCCAATGCCCATTATCACTTTAATAATTTTGGTTTCAATAATGGCTCGTCCTCATTAGGTATTCAGAGAAATGATACTAATTTTAAGGGTCATCTATGCACTGTCAGACATATTTGAACGTTTGTACCATTGGCAGGGTAATCTAACACCAGAAATATTAGGGAGCAGTGAGCTCCCTATAATATAGGTGATAGATGACCATCATAATGACAGATGGCCAGTGTTCTGTCCTTTTAAAAGAAGCCTCAAAAAACTAAAACAATTTTATATATCCATAACAAAAAGTAAACTCTAAGTTAACAGTACACGTCCTAGTGTATTAAGAGTTGTTCTTTTTTCTGCCTAACTTCCTGACATAGTTTTCAACACATTAAATCCAAAATCCCAGGGATTTAAGTTTTAAGCTATTCTAAGTTTGATTCCACCCAAATAAGTATGAGGCATCAGCATTTCTTATTCCTAGTAAGTCTAAATCTGTCTCTTCCCCATCATGTGTTGTAAGGCCTTCCTTCCGTTATAGCCATTGAACTCTGGAACACGATCCAGAATAATTTCCTGTTTCCAGGACACACCAGAGATGGCATATGACTGGCACCAACATTCACCCAAACTAGCTTCTGTAGGGACTGGCCACATTGATCAGGGCCACCATATTGTTTCAGAACTACCAGGCACAGAGCCTTGAACCAGCTAGTTAGTAAGCCTAATTGAAGCTGAATATCATCGGTGATTTCATATTCTGTGTCCTCTCTTAGATCCACTAAGTTTAAATAAGGAGTCTGGAATTTAAAATTAAATTTCTTGACAAAAGAATATGTGTCAGTTGGGATGAGGGGGTTGGGGGGTGGGAGGGATACTGGGATCCGTGGTGGTGGGAAATGGGCACTGGTGAAGGGATGGGTATTTGATCATTGTATAATTGAAACCCAAGCACAAAAATGTGTAAATCTGCAACTGTACCTCATGATGTCTCACTATTAAAAAAAAAAAACACTCATTCCAAGTGGTTCCAACTTCACAAATAAATAATTCCTGAAAAAAAAAAAAGAATATGTGTCAGTAAAGCCCATTCATGAATTCTCATCTCTCACTTTTTTTTTTTTTTGCGTCACACCCAGCAATGCACAGGGATTACTCTTGGCTCTACACTCAGGAATTACTTTTGGTGGTACTCAGGAGACAATATGGGATGCAGGAATTGAACCCGGGTCTGCCGCATGCAAAGCAAATGCTCTACCCACTGTGCTATCATTCCAGCCCCTCATCTCTCACCTTTGATGACTCAAGGCTTCTGTAACTTGGACTTGGGCACATACTGGTTTTTGTTCGTTTGTTTGTTTGTTTTTGTTTTTCAGGGTTTTTTGTTTGTTTCTTGGACCACGCCTGGTGGTATTCAAGGCCGAACCCTGGCTGGGTGCTCAGGGATCAGGGGACCATATGCAGTGCTGAAGCTAACTGGAGGACTGCAGTGTGCGAGACAAGCACCTTCTCTCCTGTACTGCAGTTACAGTGACAGGCACATGCATTTTGAAATGTATGGCTCACTCAGTGGAGGGCCCAGCATGCACACACTCAACATGTGATTCTTTTCCCTGATAGACTTAAAAATATGCTTTAAAAAATCTATCTGGATGAGATAAATAAGTTGATAATGAGAATTCCTTATGGCAATAATAGACTCAGAGTTAGGCAGGCAGATAGGCCGGTTGGTGAATCAACCCCTACTCCTGGGCAGTAAGTTTCAGGGACTATTCAAATCAAGATACGATATGAAAAAGGAGTATCTGCTTCTACCTCATCCTCTGAGTAAAGGATACCAGCCCAAACCCCAGGCAGGGCTGAATCCCTGTGGAAGTGGTTCTTGGCACCTGAGGTCTGATAAGACTCTGAGTGCTATTAGCTCAAAGGAGAATAGCAGGAAAAAAAGGCTCTGATAAGAATATGAAAGAAGACCCTTTCCCCTGACTAAACTGGAGCAACTACTTTTTTTTTAAATTGAATCATGTTGAGATACAGTTACAAAGCTTTCATGTTTGAGTTTCATCATACAAAGATCAGTATATACACCCGACCCTCCACCTGTCCACATTTTCCACCACCAGTGTCCCAAGTATCCCCACCTCCACCCCTCCACCTGCTTCTATGGCAGACAATTTCCCTTTTACTCTCTCTCTACTTTGGGAAATTATGGTTGAGAAACTACTTCATACCTTCATAAGAAACCTCCAGGTCAAGGCAACTTGGAAAAATGTCTGTAAAACCATCTTTGCAAAAATAAACATGCTGTCCCTTACTGGGGTCATCCACAACCTGACTTGGGGTTTGTTCCCTTGTTTTGTGTTATGAGTTCTCTTTCCTGTCTGCAGAAGCCTGTGTTCTCTCTTGAGCATTCCCCCCGCCCCCTGCTTTAATAATGTCTCTGTGCTCCCCTAGTTGTCTCTTAGAATACCCTCCCGGCAGAATAGGAAACACCGTGGAAACCTGAGCTGAGGTCCAGACTGACTTTCCTTGTTGTGCAGAGCCAAGGAACCTGAGAAAACACTGGATGATGGGGACCAACTCCCTCACTAGATGCAGAGTGATGTTCACTTTGCTTGAACTGACAGAACTAGAGGGTCTTCACCATGTTATGTAAGCACTTTGCTCACTTGGACCAGTCTTGCCTTCACTGTACTTCAACAGGAAGTTCTTGGTAGGCCAAGATGGAGCATAGAGAACTCTCTCTTTCTTGTGCCTCTACCTCCCACTCTGAAATTCCCTTGGGGTAACCATAGACAAGGTATTAGCTTTGGTGGCTGTTCATTGGATGCCATTTTCTGTACTGCTGACCATATTGTACCTAACACAAACTTTGACAAGTCCCAAAGTTAAATTTAAGATGGCTTCCAATGCTGATTCAAATTGTTGGAAGTTGACATGCTTAATTGATGTCAGGAAGTTAGCAAGACCAACAGGAAACAAATTTGAAGGCGTGTTGGAAATACAGCACTACTTCCTTTGTAATGTAAAATAATATTGACTTAATACTGACCTCTTTAATCATGATTCCTCCAGCATTGTAAGAGCAAGACCCATTTTATGTCTCAGTAAACGAATTTTCACAATTCAGTGACTTGAAGCAATTCTCTTAGAGTTCTACCCAACCTTGTCATTTGGTTCTGTTTTTGAAAAAGAGTATAGATGACCTAAGAGAATGAGATATTTCCAGTGAATTTGGAGAATTAACATTTTAGCAAATGTAGAATCAAACAGTAGCCATGAGTATGCAAGGTCAAAGGCCTACTTAAAGCATGTGTGTGAACTCTGGTGATCAAACAATGAGGGAGGTTAAGGAAATGTCAGTCGGGTGGGGCGGGGGATGCTGAGATTCAGACTCAAGGTAAGTGAAGAGTTTGAGGAAGTTCCAGGTTGATCCAATGGTCCCTGGTAATTGAAGCTCATTTATTTGTCAAAGCTCTTTAAATTGTTAGGAATGCTTCTGGTATACCATATGTCTCAACAGTCAGAAGGAACTCTTCCTCTCTGAATGAGATCGTGCAGATTGTTTCACTGTTTGCTGGCAGATATTAGCAATTCTAGCTTTGTTTCTGGCCCAATTATGCAAAAGTGAAAACATGACTAATTAATTCTCTTTAGTCAATAACACCCCTGAAAGATTTTTATCATTTTATACTGTAAATCCTCTCAATATTGATACTCAGGACACCCAATTATACCCAAATATTGATATTTAAAGGCACCCCCTTGAGTCGTGTGTGCTAAGATTGTGACATTCAAAGATTCTCACTTTGCATACAAATTATTGAGTCTTGACTAAAAATTATTTCATGGATTACCCTTTAGATAATTAAGTTAGTGATATCTTCATAGATGAGATGTACCAATAACTGATAATGTACAATTTTATCATTTCTTTAGAATTATATAATGTGTTGCCTAATGACTTTTTCTACTTTACATAACTTATTTTCTACATTTCCCCATAAAAACAGGAGACAGTTGCTTTTTTCCCCCCTGTGCAATAGCCAAATGTGTTAGAACAAACTCAATTTCCAAATAGAGGCTTCTTCTGTTCTCAGCACGTCTCGCCAGAGTGTATTTAATTTCACGCGTGCATGAGAGATAATAATGAAATTCCCAGGTACTAAATATTTTTCAGCCATTCACACGGTGCTGTTATCTGGTATAAAGTTAGATGAAATGAACATAATGCTGAATTACTAAAAATAATGAAGTAAAGGCAATTCATTAATCTTTATCTTGTCTGTTTTTCTGTATACAGCCTGGATGAAATGGGGTGATCTACTTGGGGATGATTAGATTGAAAAGGGTCTAATGAAGAGAAACATGGGGCTGGAAATGTTTTCTTCTTTCTTTTTAAATTCTACACATCACCTTTTTCTTACATGCTTCTGTTTTTTTTTTTAGTGGCAAAGCATTTCTATAACACTGGTTGAGAAAGTTCAGATGGTGGCTGTAATCCTAGGATCCCTGTTCTTAATAGCAAGTGTGACCTGGCTCCTCTGGTCAGCCTTCAGCCCCTATGCAGTGTGGCAGAGGAAGGACATCCTTTTCCAAATCTGCTATGGAATGTATGGTTTTATGGATCTAGTGTGCATAGGTAAGACCACGACGTTACACATTAACCGACTGTCAGTAATCCATTGTTGCTAGCTCTGCTATTTTCAACGGCTTGGATTTGATGTAGAATGTGATTATCATGATCTTGATTCTCCAGTTAATTAAATTTGTGGTCTGGGGTGGGAGGGAGGTCAGGGGTTCACCATCTGATTGCTCTTTTCCCCCCCAAAAAAACCATAGCATCGATATGCCCAAGTAGTCTGAAATCATGGACAGGCTCATGGCCACTTAAAGTGAAAAGGGAAGACATTGGAGAAATGATTTGGGGCAGGCAATTGGGTTTCTAGGGATTGAGCACACATTGTGCCCATGTCCAGACTGGGAGAGCACTGGTTGGGGCCAGTGGAGAAACTGTCTCTGGGGAGAGACAAGTCCTCTGAGTCTAGTTCTCTTGCATCATGATGTGGTGATACAGATTCTCTGGTAGAAAAGCTCCCTGGGATGCCAGGGGATTTGGGACAGTTTTACTTGCTTTTCTGCTTCCTCTTCCTTTCACTTAAAAGTCCCATAATGTAGGAGACAAGAAGGAGCAAACATTTGAGCTTTGAGGAAACTGCACCAAGGAAGGCTGTGATCGGTTTCATTTCCCAGATCTGAGGCTCCCTGAACACTGTGAGAAAACAAGAGTTACTGCAGGAGGCGTTTACAGGAAGTGTTCAATGGTGGCCGCTTGGCATTGGGAGCCAGGGGTGGGTGGATACGAGTGATACGATGCTCTGTGCCCTCATGAGGTGTCCAGCTCAGTGGGGTACTGTAAAGCATGTTGGGATGCTATTGCAGTATAGAACTGTGGTTCTCAGAGTGTGGTCCTCAGACCAACCCCAGTCCACTCCACTGGCAGTGGCATCATTAGCCCCATTTTTAAAAATGCATGTTCTTGAGCCTCAGCCCCAGACCTGCTGATCCAGAAACTTCAAGAAGACTTCTCCCCAACGATCAAACTTTATAAGCCCACAAGATTCTGAGGCATATGGAGGTTTGGGAACCACGAAACCTGAACTCAGCATCAAATCTCTTCATTTCTAATCTTGGATAATCCCTAGCACACAGGCCTACATTAATAAATTAACTATTACGCAATAATTAATAAATTAACTATTATGCAATAATTATGTAGATCAATTCAATTTGAAGTCACAAACATTGAAATAATTTAAATCTTTTTGACTAATGCCTGTACTCAGTACAGTCTTAATTTAACCAACAGTCTTAATGTCCTCAGTCATTTTATTTTCTAAAGGAACTTCATAAAATTTGAAGTTACAGTCAGTCTGAATTTTCTCTCATTTCATTGTTTCCTCCCCTGCCACTTGTTAAAGGAGAATAGGAAAGGAAATGATTCCACATTATACCAGAAAGGAAAAAAGGAAGGGGAAGGAGTATGCCATGAATAATATCTACAACTGAACAGATGTTGCCTGAATAATTGGACTAATCATGAATATCAGTAATTTACATTAGAGGTAATAATCATGTAACAGTGTTTGAAAATTCTAAGTCTGTACCAACATGATCTCTCGGGCATTTGTCTAAATAAAGAAGAATTATCAAATTGTTCTAAAAATCCCTCAGTGTTTAAGAGATAGAGTTTATTCTGTTTTTCAACACAATGTTATAAAATTTGCTATTTTATGGATATCACAGGAGCAGATGTAAACCATAAAATTCATAAGGTTCCCAAGTCAAGCTGGGGTGGGGGTGGATGGATGTGGAATAAATTCAGTTGACTTTGTTTCTGTCATTAACATTAAAAAGCACTATTCGTTTTCTGGTCAGGAAATTCTGATTTTTCACAACTTGCATTCAGTTCTGAGTAATTGAATCTAAAATGCAATGGCTCATGCCAGTGTTTTGAATTTAAATTATTAAAATTTGGGTTTTAAAAGGTGCATGCATATGAACTAATGATCTTTCAGAGTTAAGTGACTTATTTGATTTTTCTTTTGAAAACTGGAAGCTCGTTCATTTCCTAGAAGTAAGTTACTTAAGAACAGAAAGTATTTGACATGTCCTCAGAAATATTTGGAAAGTGCAGTTTAATCCAAGTTTTCAATATTGACAGTACTGTTCATTGCCTTTAACTTGTTGGATCTAATTATCTTTTATCAGTTTTCTGTGTATTTTGATAAAGAATTCCTATAGGGGGTGGAGAGATAGTATAGCTGTTAAGGGGCTTGTCTTACACACAGCTGACGCAGGTTCGATCCCTGGCTCCTTAGGTGATCCTTAGCACCACCAGGAGTGATCCCTGAGCACATAGCCAAGAGTAAAGCCTGAGAACCACTGGGGGTGTCCCAAAAGCAAACAGTGAAGATTTGAAATTGAACAACTTTGTTTGTTTTACTTAGTAATGTTTATAAAATACTTAGTAATGGAATTTTACTTAGTCTGTTTAGGCCCAAATAAATGTTATTTTCTCCCCCAGAAATTGAAGAACTACTATAATTAAGAAAGCAGGGCTGAGATGGCTCAGAGGGCGGGCGCTTAAGGGAGATCCCTGGGTCTATGTCTGGCACCGTAGACCCCCCAGGAACCAGCTGAGTCAGGGCTGCTAATAACTCCTACTGACATTTCAAATGACTGCTAATTAAACGTAGGTGATAACAAAATAGATTGCACAGATAACTCAAATGCCTCGACTGTAATTCTAGTCAGTGTTAGAATGAATAGCAGATTTACAGCTTTGAGCATCATTTTCTCAACTTGGTTCAGTACAGATTTATTGAGCACTTTCTGTGTCAGACACAATGCTGGGTATCGGGAATACAAATCAGATTGGTCACTTTGCCCGGAACTCCCAGCAGCATGGGATGGAGAGGCAAATAAGTAGGTGATTAGAATTCAGTGGTGTGTGTACAGTTGTAAAGGCAGTGGTTGGATGGAACAGTTGACTGCAGGGAGTAGACGATTTCAGGCAGATTCCTGGGGGCCATGAGACTGTCTGCTTGTCATCTTTGTAAGATGTAAGATCGGCTCTTCATTCAGAGCTTGAAGAGGGTTGGAAGCATTTTATATTCCTGTTTGTCCAGGCTCTGCAAACTTGTTTGGGCTTAAATGAGAAAGAGCAGATCGGTGACTTCATAAATGTCTTTACAAAAAAATAACCTTGAAAAAAATCTAGTTCAGAATATTCCAGAATTTTTTAAAAAATGTTATCATCCACTGAGGTTATAGGAAGCTTATGAAAGGGTTATTCTTGCATTTTTATTGAACAGAAATGTAAAGATTCGAAGAACATGTCATTCTGGTGCAAAATTGGTTTGTTCAATTCCAGATGCAGGAATTTGTCTGTTGCTTCATTTATCCATCACTAATTGGTGCATTTGCTTCTTTCCCAAGAGTTAACTTTTTATTGCTATCAGCGTTTGAATTCTCCCGAAGGGCTGGGCGCACTATTGCTAAAATTCCTAGATGGAGTTTGTTCAATAGAACTTCCTGCAATGTTGAAAACATCTGTACCATAATGCAGTGCTTCACAGAGTGCAAATCTGATAGCAACTTTATTGGGGGCACTGGAGTAATGAGGAGATGGTGACCTTGGCTGCAATTGGGGGCATTTTCTGTTTATTTGCTTGATTATTTTTTCCTAAAAGAGAGCAGTAGGTCTGTGTTTGGGGACCTTTGCCATTCGCACCAGCTACATTTAGTTATTAAACATTAAAATCAAGCATGTAATTAGTGAGAATGAGGTACTGAATTTTAAATTTATGCTACTTCAGGGCCTCAGCAGCATCACATTCTGGGCACTGAGTCAGTTAGTCAAGAATGACCAGGAGGGGATCATGAACCCCTCAGCACCATTTGTGAAATCCTCCCACAAAATAATAAAATGCATTAAGAATTTGGTGCTAAGAATTAAGAATTTGCGGGCGGGATACTCTCGTATCCCATATCTCGGGCAGAGCCTGGCAAACATCCTGTGGTGTATTCAATATGCCAAATACAGTAACAACAATAGGTCTCATTCCCCTAATCCTGAAACAGTCTCCAATTGTTGTGGAAAGACTAGTAAGAAGAGGCTGCTAAGCTCTCAGGGCTGGGAGGAATAGAGATGTTACTGGTGCCCACTGGAGTAAATCGAAGGTCAATGGGATGCCAGTGATACAGTGATGACAGTGAAGAATTTGGCACATTGATGGTGCAGTAATTTTGTGCATCAACACCATACATGTTGATACTATTGGGTCTATGTTCCCCAAACATAATAATAAAATTAAAATTGTAAAATCAATTTATGCTACTCAAGTTTGTTTAAATTTAACTTAAATGGCTCGATGTGGCTGGAGGCTACTTTATTGGATGGCGTGGATTCTATATGCTGGAATAGTCAATGGAGAGAACTTGGATGAATGAGTTCCATACTATTCGTGGGTTGTATTTCCTACATGATAAAGAAGCATGGAAAGGGCTAGATCAGAAATGAATTCAGGAGGATTAAGAGAAGGGTAGTAAAGACTCGAGGGGAATGATTAAGAGGTTATCAAAGAGCAGTCAAAGAAGCCATAGTGTCTAGGAACTGAAGTACATGGAGCTATAAATTCATATTGTATTTGGGCAGCTCTTTGAAATATTCAAATAGATTGCATTCAGAGTAATTTTGCAGAGGGGAAACTAATATAAAGGATTCCAATCACCACAATGCTATAGCCAAGGGGCAGTCATTTAGGGAGTAATAAGCATAGAAGGTCCTATTGGCTTCCTCTTCTTAAAAGATTTGCACAGTGGATGAGGGAAGATTTGCAAGCCTGGAAAGGAGGCATGAATGCATGGCCAAGAGCACTGGGCACAGTACTTGGCTTTGACTCTGAAAGTTTCACAAGACAATAGCCTCAAGACTTGCCCTGTCTGTAGGGTTCAAAGGGAAGCTTCTGCTGCTTGAGTTTATTGAGGACCATGAGCTTCAAGGACTGGGAGGGGACCTGGAGGGCAGGAGGAGTCATTTGGCTCCTTTTGCATCTCGGAAGTGAGGGCAGTTGCCAC